TGGTTTGAATGGATGGATCTACGACTCATGAAGCCAACTGGATGCTTATTTGATATAGGTCTTTATAACGCCCTTTTGAACAAGAACTACTGCGTTTATGATTTCGATGGCTGAACTACTTCAAATAGAAGTTGAGTAAATAAGTTCAAGGCTTAAGTTAACTTGAAAAGTTTTAGACTTATCTTGAAAGGAAGGTTCTTTGCATGTGATAGTATTAGTAATAGGATAGACAACCTTATTTCAGGAGACATTAAGACACAAATGACATCAACAATATTCAAATTTCCTTTACTTGGTTAGATCTTATGCAAACAGCGTGATAGTGGTTGGAGAAGCTTCTAGGTTTCAAAAGTCTGTTCCGTTTTTATATGTCACGCGGCTGTGTAAACAATTTGCTATACGTATTAAGATACATATGTATCCGATGATTCAAGGCAAAATTTTTATTGGTTTTTGTTGTGCTTGTGATAAAGTAGGGCCGTTTCATAAATCTTCAGCGAAAAATACTTAACGTTTTGCCAAATAGCCTGAAATACATCTTATTTGTTTCTACCCGTCGTACAGTTTTTCATAGTGAAAACATTTCCTTTTTTGGCAGTCACTAAGGTTTGTAGTATCTAGTACTAGGTTAAGTGCACATGGGTTATTATGGATTCAGGACAGATTGACTTATTCATTCTTCTTGAGCCACATTTTGGCCTTGTTGATTATACGTTTTTAACACTGACTGCTTTTTGTATCTGCGTATATATGTGTATGGCTTATCCTACTCACCACATATCTGTAGCTTATTTTGTCTGACTACAAATACCGAGGCATGCTTGATCAAGTGAATTGGATAACTCATCCTCTTTACTCTGCATCTTATTCGGTATGTCTGCCTGAGTTCTTGAAGTAAATTCATCCAACAAAACCCGTATTTGGCTTCTTATTACCTCCGCCACACATACGTAGTTACCCCGGGTAAAATTCGGAGTTGAGTGGAAGATTGATGTTGACGGTATCTTCCCACGATCAAACCGGGGTCAGATATTGGGTCGCAAAAAGTTATTTGAAATATTACTGGGATTGAAAACAACTAACGAGATTTGAGCAAGACTAGTTCATGAGGTCACTAACCCCTGATTTGGGTTGCGTATGCAAGCATAACTCTCAGGTAACTATTATTTTGAAATGGCATACATCCTTTCCCTTTATGAAGATTTGCTTGGATTAATTTGGATGAAAATTATGTTTATTGGTGCACTTTAACACAAAACAGGATGAATGTGAGATAGTCGGACAGAACATAACAGATTTACGGTCTAAAAGGTAAGGGTGTGCTCTCTCGAAGTATTATATAGCTTCAACAGAGCTCCTGCTTGTCCAGATAACAAAGATAAGGTCAGAAAATCTCAGAACTAACGAATCACACCATTTATTGTTACATGGAGTTTTTACGGCTGAAAAAGTATAGACATAATAGACACTCACAAACTATATGTGTGACTGACCCCCAGTAATTGTTTTTCACGGTCCATAGATATACCTTATAGCTTGTAAAACCGTCAGTGCTAACCCTATTTCTTTGTCAGATTCCTCTAGAAGAAACACTACTTGATCATGCTGGCAGTATAAGTTCCGATTATTTACACATTTTTATCATCTCTCAGGTGTGTCAAAAGCGATTTACTCCTCATCCTAAAGTCTCGTTTGTTCGTATTATTGAACTCTATTTTTAGCCTTATATTCTATCTCATACAACACTAGTACCAAGAATTAGATTTTAAAAATATCATCAATGGTTTCTAGGACCACGCTGTAGGCAACATTTTGGAGCTTTCAATATCCAGTTTCTGTGTCACAATCAACGACAGACTTTGTTGAATAAGGTCATAAAGTATCAGTACATAAATAATTTACGTGTCCCTGAAACCCGTTCACATAAATCGAGTTTGATTACTCACTAAACCAATATAGCCAGTGTAAAAGATTAGCACTGTTCACCCTATGCTCATCTGAAAACTCGATTGATATGTCTTATTTTGTTACTAACAGTACAACAGCGTCATTTTTTCAGTGCAGAACAGGGTGCAGTGAACTGTATCTTAGTTCTCTGTCGCTCAGAACTAAAAAACTCAGAAGATAAGAAGTTTATACTTTTGCCTGCTTATAGTCTGTGCTCATAATTTCTAAGCTTGAAATGTGGATCGACCAAAAAATCAGTTAAGCCCGGAGGTTCTCTAATTTGATTTAAGTAGTTGGTGGCACCAAGGGCAATGCTATCGGTCATAAAGGTAAACTAAATTTGGGGAAAAACTTAGTTTTAGCTTTAAGGCTTTCGTTCTGTCCTCAGATAATCATTTGTTACTGATAAAAACCAACTTTAGGCACTACTGCAGTACAATGTTTAACTTAATGATTACCTGCACCGGCTCAATAATGGGAATAATCAAACCATGCCAAAATGGTGTAAATTTTTTAATTGCAGATGTCTTCGAAGTGTTGCTCGTATAAGATGAAACCACTTATTGAGAAATTCTGAGGCCAAGTGCAATGTTTTAAATAGAAACGACGGGCCGATTGTGACCGATCAATTGTCTGTATAGTTAAAGCATTTATGTTATTATCACTTAAAATGTCCTGGAACGTTACGATATGTTACTGAATTGTATTCTTACCAATACAAAAAGCAAGTCATTACTGTGCCATCAAATTCAGTGGTGGAAACTGTTTCATTTTACATACTATATATGAGAGTGATACATTACCAATTACAATACATTTTGCTATTACCACGTTATCTACTGTTAAAATAGTTCATTCATTCAGATTACTGCTGTTTTGAATAGTATCCAACTAACATAATTATCAACTATAATATTTCTCTCACTTGACAAGCATTATATTAGTTCAATCTCTCAGTGTTTGGTGCATAAACATAACGGAGACTAAATAAATACTTGGCAGTGGAAAATTCGATCTCCTTTAACCGAATATATATGTATTACATCATTAGTCGTTAATTATATACGTCATCGCTTTTGTTGCTTTACTACACCTGAAAGCACTATATTACTTATTTTCCCAAAATAAAATGTGTGGATGTATTCTAAATTCATTTATATAACCATACAGCATGCGCTGATTATGGTGAAATCGTAACACTGTGGTTAGCTTACAAGAGTAAGTTCCTCATTTGACAGAATTTCGGATAATAACTCGAAAAAAGTTATTTATAGTTCTTTTCTTTTCACAGGTAGCGGTTGTCAGAATCGTTCTTTATCATTTAATATTGAAATTTTATACTCCTTAAGGTCCAAGTTGGATGAGACTTTAGCAGATATTCTAAGTGTATTCATTTCTATAACTTCTGTAATTCTGAGCCACAAACATTACCTACATTATACATGAACAAAGAATGACTAATTGCTTGTAACATTCAAGGGTTGTACATTTTAGGTGTTTAATTTTTACTGCCGAGAATTTTGTTCCACTATGCAATTTATTTTTGACAAAAATCTAGATGTTTTAGTAAAGACTTTAATTTGCACCCTGTCTAGCTATTTGTAATAGTCACCAAGTACAATTTTACTTCTACGGCTGGGTTTAATCAAGGACAACAGGAAAATGGTTATTTGTGACTCTGTCATGATATTTAGTCACATAATAAGAAAAATTAATTTAGCAAGTTTTATTTAGTCTGTTCCGTCATAAATCTTTAAAGCTGAAGGACAAAAGCTAAATGCCTGTTTGAAAGTTATAAAACCTTGATGCTACTATCACATTATTTAAGTAGTTTGTCATATTTACAGAAAGATTGTCCCCATCGTATTAAAAAACTTAAAATAATATTTCCCAATATATATCACAACTTGGACTCAAGATGCAAAAGCCTAATAAGTAGTATAAAACATGATTTAAAGATAAAGTTATGGTTTTCAGTGTGAAACAATGTTTCTACTTCTAGAGTAACTATAAAACAATTAATCAATGATTTTTTTAGTGTGAAAACCTAGATGATTAGATTTAGAGTTCTATGATTTCATTTAGTGTATCAAATACCACTGAAAAATCGAAGTATTTACATGAGAAGAAATGGTAGGCTCTAGTTTAATGATTTTTTTTAATGAGGAGAGTACATACAGAAAGAAAGAAAAATAATATCATGAACATTAGTCAGTAAGAATAGATTCATAATTATTGTATGTATTTTATAAGTGTCAGATTCCCTTACAAAAGAACGAAGAAAGTATAAAACTATTTAATACTTTAACATCAGTGAAACCTTTGATAATTTCAATCATGGATCTTTTTGGATTAAATAAAGTTTATCAATATAACTTTTTTCATATCTACTTATGTTGTGGTGTATGCTACTTATATTGACATAAGTAGTAGATGATGTTAGTCGTGAACAGAAGGTCTGGAAGCAGAGAGAGACAAGAGGATCGGATAGTAAAGAATGAAAACAGGATGCAATTTGTATGACAATACAAGAACAATGAAGTCTGAGTCATTTTGACACAATTGATGAACATTTTGCAAATTAAGCATTTACTTTATGATTGTTAGATTTTATTAACAAGTCTTGTAATTTTGTGTTAAATACATTCGATTGTCCTCACTCGTGTTCTATTCACTACAATATGACCTGTTTATTAAAGTGAAATCCATCATTTCTGTACTAAAGTTTTAATAAACTGTAAAACAAAAAGCATATGAGTTGTTCCTCTTAAGTTTGTAACTATTATACATTTTCAATCATACTGTTTCCATTAAGTATTTCATAAATATTGATCAGTATAAGCTGATTAAAATGTAAGTTGCTAGGTGGATTTTTTTAAAGGTTATATGATTATTTCTTAACTTTCTTCATGTGAACATTTCAGATACTGACTACTATGTTATACATAGTTTTAGTGTTGTTATTTTTATTATTGGATCTATATATTTCCAATCTCTTTTCAATTTATTTCAGACTCTTGCTTCTTTCATGTTTTAATTTAACTTGTTTATCAATGAAAAATAGTGATTTCATACATCGAATCGATATCTTTGATCAAAATCACTTTTCCAAAGTAAGCTAAAGTCATTCTTTTTGATTGACAATTACTTCACTCTTCAGAATCTTCCAAGTCATCAGATGTATTCTGGAAATTTCAACAAATCAAATCAATTGAATACTTTCAATGGTAATTTTTTTTCGCATACCTTAGTTCAATTAACTAAATTTTATAGTTTATGCAGAAGCCCGTAGCTTATTGAATGAATGGATGATTAAAAATACTTTGGACATTGAAGATTTAGATAGCGGGACCGATGATTTTAAGCCAATTACTCCTAGTCGAAAAGAAATTAAAAGAGAATGGGACCATCTATTTAAAGACAACAATCTGAAGAGTGACGTAAGTTGTGAGAGTATAAAAGCTTTATTATTCAACCAAAAAATCTATGATTCACATCCTAACATATTTTAGATTTAGTTATCCTTAATTTTAAATATCTGCGTATTATTGGAATTCTGTAAAACTTTTGTTCATAGTTATCATATATGCGAATGTTAATGCATGTAATATGATCACGGAGAGTGGATAGAGTCATCAGACTTCATATAAAATCTTTCATTGACAGGCGTACTCTGTTCATAAAAGATACTTTGATCCATTGAAACGATGCTCACGATTTATTTATCAAATGGTTGCTTGTGAAACATATGTTCTTCGATCTGGATGAGAAGTTTTTATTTTCGTTCTGTATATCACTATTAGCCTCTCCTGTCGTAGAACTGAGATTCTCTATACCTTTTTTGCGAGCGCTTAACCAGTCCATCCTGATGCTCATATTTGTGACCAGTTCTAACCACAGATTTTTATTTGTATAAACTTTTGCGTTCCCTCCAACTCTCTCGTTCATGTGATTGTCATATCTTTTCCGTACAGATTGATAAATCAGATCTATGTCGCGATACGTCAGTTTATAACAAATTGATATGAATACTGACCCACTAAAAATTCCAAAGCATTCTTAGAATCTCATCAATCCAGATTTTGATATATTCTTAATCAAGTTTATTTTCATCATTGTCTCTGTGCGCATCACTACCACTAATAACATATCATGTTGTTTCATTACAAACACATGTCTGTTTTATCCGTAAATTTTTTTCTTCTTCATTGAATCAGTTTTGTTTTATATAGATCAATGAAAAAAGGGCTAATACTATTTTTCCAGTTCAAACATTAAATCACGGGACCTTAATTCAAGGCATTAGGGACGTAATAACAATTACTTCTTCGTTCGTATACTTAATGTTTTGCTTCCTTGGTTATCAGTGGTATATACCACTGTTCATTAAATATCTGTAAAGTTATGAATACAAGGATAGATTGGTGATTAATTAATAGAAAGAGATCTAAGGGTGGGCAAACTAAAACGTGACATCAATCCATGAAGTCATTGGAAGTTGGGCCTAATCGTGTCTAGACTAGATGGTCAGCGCCCGAATGATTATGGAAACCAATAGTTGGAGACGTTGTGTAAAATAGAGCCGAATCGGTTACAATAGTGAAGACGAATTCACTCTTTGTCTACCTTTAGATCCTTAGTTCCAAAATCATCTTGTATTCTTTTTTATTCAAGGAATTAGTGTTTTTATCTGGAATAATGTCGTCTATAGCTAGTTTTCTCTGTCACCACTGACATTTTTTCTGTTTCTACTACTATGCTATTTTTACTGATAATTTCATTTTTCTGTGCTAACGTAGTGTGACAACTTGAACTAATGCACAAATATGTCAGGTTCTCCGTTACGAATAACTGACCGACTGATTCATTAGTAATGAACTTCAAAGAAATGTTAGTTCTGGTCAACAATATCTATCTTCTCCAGGAGTAAACAAGTTGACTATAGACATAATTTTTATACCTTAGTTATTGAGATGGTGGAGAAGATTTGTAGCTCAAGTGGATGGTTTTGATGATTATATCTATAGTTATATCTAAGTTAATATTATATTTCTTTAAATACTTTTTCATAACTCAAAATGATAGTAAAAAGAAAAGACTAAACCAATTTGCGACGGCTTTGATTGAGATCGAATAGTCGTTTCCGCAAAAGTGCCTTATGTATCAAATTATATGCAAGTATACTCAGATGACGAGTCCCAAATAGAACGAAACGGAAATCCTGGATTCCACTTCTAGCCCCATCCATTTGTGCCTACAAATGCTTGTGACTTAATGGCGATACCGAGAGAATCCTCATAGGATGCATATATGCTTTTATATTGTATAGATAGACATTTAAAACTCTATCACTATACTGTTTAGCTTAAGAAAATTTCACACTACTACAATGTTGATATAGTTCCATGGATTGATAAATTTCATTGGTTTTTCGAAATTTAAGTTTTCAGATGACTATGAAGTTGATAATCACATGAAAAATAATCACTATACAGAACATAATTCTAAAGACCTAGATTTACCCCACATTGGTTATACACGCCAACGTCAGTCTACATTGGAAAAAATTCTCTTACGTCAAGAAGAGGCTAAAGCACGACGTGAACTACGACAAAAAGAATTAGAATCTCGTCGTATTCTTGAAGCTACTAATCGTCAAATAAAAGCACAAATTTTGTACAAAGCAAAACAAGTATATATTTTTTATCATACATTTTTATATTATAATTATCTCTTATAGAAAATTCAATACACCGTATGTGTGTAAATTTATTTATTGGCATCTTCTATGTAGTTTACGACAAATAGTTCAGCTAATAAACATAACAAATAATTTCAAAAGTTTATCTAGCATTTATGTTTTCCACAGTTTTATTTAATTCTAAACATCAAAACTTGATTATCATTAGGTCATAAATTGAAGTTTGTTTTGTAGTTTCCTATTACTTCAGAACAGTTCATCCATATCCATCCGTTACACTTCTAGAAATCTTGGAGATCTTATGACCTTATATCCTAAAGATAGTTTGCGCTACGGATTTCAATGAGGTGAAGATAGATTAAAAGCTAGGAAACACTGGATAACTGTTTCATTATGACGTGAAATGATTTAATTCAAGAAATTTAGGTTTGACAGTGAGCATGTTACATGTAGACTTCTGGGTTATTATTCAGCTATCCATGTTTTTTGGTTGGTGATGTAGTACGGGATTCATCAGATAGTGTTGGAAGGTATCCGCCTCCCACATGACAACAGTGAACTTCAATAATCACAATTTTCCGTACGAAATCCGGAAGTTTGTCATAAAACTGGTCATTAGTGATCGTCTAAAGGTCCAGAATTATATTATAAGCCAGGTCACAGGTACACAATGGCAACGAGTCCCACAGTGGAATAAACAGATATCAGTGCTCTGTGGCCTCCGTCAGCTAGTGTATATTCGCAACAATAACTATTATCCAATTAAACTAATTTCAACAAATCTATTCGTTCCACATTTTCTCAGATCTTTCTTCTTGACTTTATTACATGTTTACCCAAGTTTTTCTAATTTTATGATAATATTGTGAAAATTTAGAAAGAGACATTTTTATAAGGCGTGATTTTTGCATCAAATTTACTTCCTTCATGCCGCTCTCCAATAAGAATTTAGATTCGGCTAGAAAAGAAAGATGACGTCAGGTTGGATGATTTTTGGAAATTTACAGTAAAACGTAGGAAAGTTAATCGTTGGTATTGTGATTACAACCAAAGGCGTTATCAATGGGTTCGATAGGCAGCTATGATGAAAAAATAATGATCTATACGTCAATATGTTTGGGAAAACAATTTCAAGGTATAACATTGTGTCTTACAGAAAATCATGCATAGAAAAGATTGAAAATTTCTTAAAAACTCTCACTTTCTCTCTACATGTATGCAGATATATATAAAAATAGGACTTTTTAAATAAATTCACCAATAATTTCTACTAATTTGTTTTCAATGAACATAGGACGAAAAAATGAGGCAAGCAGAAGAAAGACGAGAAGAAGAACTAATTAAACAGGAGATGGTTCGAATTCGAAACGAATTAGAACAAGAAAAACAGGCAGCGAAAAACTACAGGTAGGGTGTAAAAATGTAATCTTAAAAAATTACCATAATGAATAGTAAAAAACATGAAAAATTATAGTACACGTTTGGGAAGGTTGCTAAAAATTTGGTTGAGAAACAAGACGGATTGGACGAAGAAAAACACAGAAAGCATGAAAAAACGACGGCAACTACGTGCCATTAATGTTAACAACACAAGGGTAGAATAAGGCTTCACATAATCCGATCACAAACAAAAATGAAAATACTCGAATCCGAACAAAATCGTATTAGCGGATTGTTTGTAAGAGTGGATGGAGTCAGTTGTAGGACGTGGATTGTTTGTGTTTGTTTTGAGGTGATGTTGTGTGTGTGTGTGTGTGTGTGGAGGTGTTTGTAGTAGAATATTTGTGAGTTGTATTGTGATGAGTTTGGTGTTGGTGGCACACGGACACGCCTCCATAGCTCAGTGGATAGAGCACTGGTCTAGTAAACCAGGGGTCGGGAGTTCGATCCTCCCTGGAGGCAGTGTGTTTGCAACCACTTCGAATTGAGATCATGTTCCAGTCGTGTTAGTTTTACTAACTGTCACCACTGATCACCAACCGTGACGAAACACACTCGTCCCTGTTCAACTCGAAACTCACAAGTTCACATACAAGTAGACATCGACTCCAGTCAACTAAACCACTTACAAGACGATCAATCAATTGGAACACCGGAGCTGATGATATTATATATCCAGATGTCAACAGCACCGTCATAGTCTATCGTCAGTTGGACTCAGTGGAAATAATTGAGGAGCTCCCGTCCGGTTAATTCTAACACGAACTCATTCAACGAGAAGCGTTGAATGTTGAGCAATGCACAGAGAGAGAGAGAGAGAGGGAGTGAGACGAGCGTACCACCGGAAACCTGTTTTTCACTCGACTCCGATACACTTGGAGCATATCATGTGAGATTATTATCTCGACAGAATTGTGCAACTGTTTGTGTACTTCGGCGACACTTTTGTCAGGGGTTAGGTGTCGACCTGTTGAAGAGTGGATAGTGGAGCTGAGCATTCGGCAGGTTGGTTTGCATGGTGATGCGACTTTCTCTCTCCCCAGAACAGTTCGTCTACACAAACATTTGACAGATATTCTCAGACACACGCGACACAAATGGATAGGTTCTGATGAGGCTTATTGGTAAAACAGAGTTTAGACGGTCTGCATAGACCACGGAAGAAGTGAACATCCGTCGTCACAGGCTTCTCCACGGATTGCCACCACGTCGTCATCTGGTCTGCATGAGACGTTCGTCAGTGATCTTCCGTGTCTGGTAGGATTAGGGTTTCAGGTGAGTGTGTGAGACGTATGCGCTAATACGAGCTAGTCATGTGAGCAGCCGTTTCAGGTTGGCTTGTGTTGCAGCATGACAACTTGTTGTGGAATTACGAGACACATGACGATGGTCAGATATCAGTCTGTCTATGAATTGGCGAGCTCGGTGTGACGCATTTCGTTCTGAATTTGCTCGTGTCTTTAGAACATGAGATTTGCAGATTGTTATTATCCTACTGTGACTGTTACTAATCAAAATGGTCAGAGATCGTGGTGAAATGATTCAAGTAGTGCCTCAGTATATTCATGCGTGCAGTAATTGACACGGACAGAATATCTTGCAGTTATGAATGTATATACATGTATCTATATATACACGAATCAATATATGTGTAGATATTTCCATCTATATAGATATAGATATATAGAAGTGCAGAATGTATTTGTAGCAATTGACCAAGCATAGAGCGAATTGTTGAGGTGTTCGTTGATAAGGATAATGAATGGGTTGGTGTGATTCGGAGGTGTCTGTAGTAAGTGGGAATATGTTGATGTTACTTGATAATATGTGTGATTTTCAGGTGTCGTGCTAGTTATGTGTTAGTCGAAGTTGTAGTGTCGGTGTTTGTTGTTGATGTATAAATGTGGTGTTTGTAAGAGTGGATGGAGTCAGTTGTAGGACGTGGATTGTTTGTGTTTGTTTTGAGGTGATGTTGTGTGTGTGTGTGTGTGTGTGGAGGTGTTTGTAGTAGAATATTTGTGAGTTGTATTGTGATGAGTTTGGTGTTGGTGGCACACGGACACGCCTCCATAGCTCAGTGGATAGAGCACTGGTCTAGTAAACCAGGGGTCGGGAGTTCGATCCTCCCTGGAGGCAGTGTGTTTGCAACCACTTCGAATTGAGATCATGTTCCAGTCGTGTTAGTTTTACTAACTGTCACCACTGATCACCAACCGTGACGAAACACACTCGTCCCTGTTCAACTCGAAACTCACAAGTTCACATACAAGTAGACATCGACTCCAGTCAACTAAACCACTTACAAGACGATCAATCAATTGGAACACCGGAGCTGATGATATTATATATCCAGATGTCAACAGCACCGTCATAGTCTATCGTCAGTTGGACTCAGTGGAAATAATTGAGGAGCTCCCGTCCGGTTAATTCTAACACGAACTCATTCAACGAGAAGCGTTGAATGTTGAGCAATGCACAGAGAGAGAGAGAGAGAGAGGGAGTGAGACGAGCGTACCACCGGAAACCTGTTTTTCACTCGACTCCGATACACTTGGAGCATATCATGTGAGATTATTATCTCGACAGAATTGTGCAACTGTTTGTGTACTTCGGCGACACTTTTGTCAGGGGTTAGGTGTCGACCTGTTGAAGAGTGGATAGTGGAGCTGAGCATTCGGCAGGTTGGTTTGCATGGTGATGCGACTTTCTCTCTCCCCAGAACAGTTCGTCTACACAAACATTTGACAGATATTCTCAGACACACGCGACACAAATGGATAGGTTCTGATGAGGCTTATTGGTAAAACAGAGTTTAGACGGTCTGCATAGACCACGGAAGAAGTGAACATCCGTCGTCACAGGCTTCTCCACGGATTGCCACCACGTCGTCATCTGGTCTGCATGAGACGTTCGTCAGTGATCTTCCGTGTCTGGTAGGATTAGGGTTTCAGGTGAGTGTGTGAGACGTATGCGCTAATACGAGCTAGTCATGTGAGCAGCCGTTTCAGGTTGGCTTGTGTTGCAGCATGACAACTTGTTGTGGAATTACGAGACACATGACGATGGTCAGATATCAGTCTGTCTATGAATTGGCGAGCTCGGTGTGACGCATTTCGTTCTGAATTTGCTCGTGTCTTTAGAACATGAGATTTGCAGATTGTTATTATCCTACTGTGACTGTTACTAATCAAAATGGTCAGAGATCGTGGTGAAATGATTCAAGTAGTGCCTCAGTATATTCATGCGTGCAGTAATTGACACGGACAGAATATCTTGCAGTTATGAATGTATATACATGTATCTATATATACACGAATCAATATATGTGTAGATATTTCCATCTATATAGATATAGATATATAGAAGTGCAGAATGTATTTGTAGCAATTGACCAAGCATAGAGCGAATTGTTGAGGTGTTCGTTGATAAGGATAATGAATGGGTTGGTGTGATTCGGAGGTGTCTGTAGTAAGTGGGAATATGTTGATGTTACTTGATAATATGTGTGATTTTCAGGTGTCGTGCTAGTTATGTGTTAGTCGAAGTTGTAGTGTCGGTGTTTGTTGTTGATGTATAAATGTGGTGTTTGTAAGAGTGGATGGAGTCAGTTGTAGGACGTGGATTGTTTGTGTTTGTTTTGAGGTGATGTTGTGTGTGTGTGTGTGTGTGTGGAGGTGTTTGTAGTAGAATATTTGTGAGTTGTATTGTGATGAGTTTGGTGTTGGTGGCACACGGACACGCCTCCATAGCTCAGTGGATAGAGCACTGGTCTAGTAAACCAGGGGTCGGGAGTTCGATCCTCCCTGGAGGCAGTGTGTTTGCAACCACTTCGAATTGAGATCATGTTCCAGTCGTGTTAGTTTTACTAACTGTCACCACTGATCACCAACCGTGACGAAACACACTCGTCCCTGTTCAACTCGAAACTCACAAGTTCACATACAAGTAGACATCGACTCCAGTCAACTAAACCACTTACAAGACGATCAATCAATTGGAACACCGGAGCTGATGATATTATATATCCAGATGTCAACAGCACCGTCATAGTCTATCGTCAGTTGGACTCAGTGGAAATAATTGAGGAGCTCCCGTCCGGTTAATTCTAACACGAACTCATTCAACGAGAAGCGTTGAATGTTGAGCAATGCACAGAGAGAGAGAGAGAGGGAGTGAGACGAGCGTACCACCGGAAACCTGTTTTTCACTCGACTCCGATACACTTGGAGCATATCATGTGAGATTATTATCTCGACAGAATTGTGCAACTGTTTGTGTACTTCGGCGACACTTTTGTCAGGGGTTAGGTGTCGACCTGTTGAAGAGTGGATAGTGGAGCTGAGCATTCGGCAGGTTGGTTTGCATGGTGATGCGACTTTCTCTCTCCCCAGAACAGTTCGTCTACACAAACATTTGACAGATATTCTCAGACACACGCGACACAAATGGATAGGTTCTGATGAGGCTTATTGGTAAAACAGAGTTTAGACGGTCTGCATAGACCACGGAAGAAGTGAACATCCGTCGTCACAGGCTTCTCCACGGATTGCCACCACGTCGTCATCTGGTCTGCATGAGACGTTCGTCAGTGATCTTCCGTGTCTGGTAGGATTAGGGTTTCAGGTGAGTGTGTGAGACGTATGCGCTAATACGAGCTAGTCATGTGAGCAGCCGTTTCAGGTTGGCTTGTGTTGCAGCATGACAACTTGTTGTGGAATTACGAGACACATGACGATGGTCAGATATCAGTCTGTCTATGAATTGGCGAGCTCGGTGTGACGCATTTCGTTCTGAATTTGCTCGTGTCTTTAGAACATGAGATTTGCAGATTGTTATTATCCTACTGTGACTGTTACTAATCAAAATGGTCAGAGATCGTGGTGAAATGATTCAAGTAGTGCCTCAGTATATTCATGCGTGCAGTAATTGACACGGACAGAATATCTTGCAGTTATGAATGTATATACATGTATCTATATATACACGAATCAATATATGTGTAGATATTTCCATCTATATAGATATAGATATATAGAAGTGCAGAATGTATTTGTAGCAATTGACCAAGCATAGAGCGAATTGTTGAGGTGTTCGTTGATAAGGATAATGAATGGGTTGGTGTGATTCGGAGGTGTCTGTAGTAAGTGGGAATATGTTGATGTTACTTGATAATATGTGTGATTTTCAGGTGTCGTGCTAGTTATGTGTTAGTCGAAGTTGTAGTGTCGGTGTTTGTTGTTGATGTATAAATGTGGTGTTTGTAAGAGTGGATGGAGTCAGTTGTAGGACGTGGATTGTTTGTGTTTGTTTTGAGGTGATGTTGTGTGTGTGTGTGTGTGTGTGGAGGTGTTTGTAGTAGAATATTTGTGAGTTGTATTGTGATGAGTTTGGTGTTGGTGGCACACGGACACGCCTCCATAGCTCAGTGGATAGAGCACTGGTCTAGTAAACCAGGGGTCGGGAGTTCGATCCTCCCTGGAGGCAGTGTGTTTGCAACCACTTCGAATTGAGATCATGTTCCAGTCGTGTTAGTTTTACTAACTGTCACCACTGATCACCAACCGTGACGAAACACACTCGTCCCTGTTCAACTCGAAACTCACAAGTTCACATACAAGTAGACATCGACTCCAGTCAACTAAACCACTTACAAGACGATCAATCAATTGGAACACCGGAGCTGATGATATTATATATCCAGATGTCAACAGCACCGTCATAGTCTATCGTCAGTTGGACTCAGTGGAAATAATTGAGGAGCTCCCGTCCGGTTAATTCTAACACGAACTCATTCAACGAGAAGCGTTGAATGTTGAGCAATGCACAGAGAGAGAGAGAGAGAGAGAGAGGGAGTGAGACGAGCGTACCACCGGAAACCTGTTTTTCACTCGACTCCGATACACTTGGAGCATATCATGTGAGATTATTATCTCGACAGAATTGTGCAACTGTTTGTGTACTTCGGCGACACTTTTGTCAGGGGTTAGGTGTCGACCTGTTGAAGAGTGGATAGTGGAGCTGAGCATTCGGCAGGTTGGTTTGCATGGTGATGCGACTTTCTCTCTCCCCAGAACAGTTCGTCTACACAAACATTTGACAGATATTCTCAGACACACGCGACACAAATGGATAGGTTCTGATGAGGCTTATTGGTAAAACAGAGTTTAGACGGTCTGCATAGACCACGGAAGAAGTGAACATCCGTCGTCACAGGCTTCTCCACGGATTGCCACCACGTCGTCATCTGGTCTGCATGAGACGTTCGTCAGTGATCTTCCGTGTCTGGTAGGATTAGGGTTTCAGGTGAGTGTGTGAGACGTATGCGCTAATACGAGCTAGTCATGTGAGCAGCCGTTTCAGGTTGGCTTGTGTTGCAGCATGACAACTTGTTGTGGAATTACGAGACACATGACGATGGTCAGATATCAGTCTGTCTATGAATTGGCGAGCTCGGTGTGACGCATTTCGTTCTGAATTTGCTCGTGTCTTTAGAACATGAGATTTGCAGATTGTTATTATCCTACTGTGACTGTTACTAATCAAAATGGTCAGAGATCGTGGTGAAATGATTCAAGTAGTGCCTCAGTATATTCATGCGTGCAGTAATTGACACGGACAGAATATCTTGCAGTTATGAATGTATATACATGTATCTATATATACACGAATCAATATATGTGTAGATATTTCCATCTATATAGATATAGATATATAGAAGTGCAGAATGTATTTGTAGCAATTGACCAAGCATAGAGCGAATTGTTGAGGTGTTCGTTGATAAGGATAATGAATGGGTTGGTGTGATTCGGAGGTGTCTGTAGTAAGTGGGAATATGTTGATGTTACTTGATAATATGTGTGATTTTCAGGTGTCGTGCTAGTTATGTGTTAGTCGAAGTTGTAGTGTCGGTGTTTGTTGTTGATGTATAAATGTGGTGTTTGTAAGAGTGGATGGAGTCAGTTGTAGGACGTGGATTGTTTGTGTTTGTTTTGAGGTGATGTTGTGTGTGTGTGTGTGTGTGTGGAGGTGTTTGTAGTAGAATATTTGTGAGTTGTATTGTGATGAGTTTGGTGTTGGTGGCACACGGACACGCCTCCATAGCTCAGTGGATAGAGCACTGGTCTAGTAAACCAGGGGTCGGGAGTTCGATCCTCCCTGGAGGCAGTGTGTTTGCAACCACTTCGAATTGAGATCATGTTCCAGTCGTGTTAGTTTTACTAACTGTCACCACTGATCACCAACCGTGACGAAACACACTCGTCCCTGTTCAACTCGAAACTCACAAGTTCACATACAAGTAGACATCGACTCCAGTCAACTAAACCACTTACAAGACGATCAATCAATTGGAACACCGGAGCTGATGATATTATATATCCAGATGTCAACAGCACCGTCATAGTCTATCGTCAGTTGGACTCAGTGGAAATAATTGAGGAGCTCCCGTCCGGTTAATTCTAACACGAACTCATTCAACGAGAAGCGTTGAATGTTGAGCAATGCACAGAGAGAGAGAGAGAGAGAGAGAGAGGGAGTGAGACGAGCGTACCACCGGAAACCTGTTTTTCACTCGACTCCGATACACTTGGAGCATATCATGTGAGATTATTATCTCGACAGAATTGTGCAACTGTTTGTGTACTTCGGCGACACTTTTGTCAGGGGTTAGGTGTCGACCTGTTGAAGAGTGGATAGTGGAGCTGAGCATTCGGCAGGTTGGTTTGCATGGTGATGCGACTTTCTCTCTCCCCAGAACAGTTCGTCTACACAAACATTTGACAGATATTCTCAGACACACGCGACACAAATGGATAGGTTCTGATGAGGCTTATTGGTAAAACAGAGTTTAGACGGTCTGCATAGACCACGGAAGAAGTGAACATCCGTCGTCACAGGCTTCTCCACGGATTGCCACCACGTCGTCATCTGGTCTGCATGAGACGTTCGTCAGTGATCTTCCGTGTCTGGTAGGATTAGGGTTTCAGGTGAGTGTGTGAGACGTATGCGCTAATACGAGCTAGTCATGTGAGCAGCCGTTTCAGGTTGGCTTGTGTTGCAGCATGACAACTTGTTGTGGAATTACGAGACACATGACGATGGTCAGATATCAGTCTGTCTATGAATTGGCGAGCTCGGTTTGACGTATTTTATTGTGGAGTTGCCTTCGCATATATATATAAATATATTTGAATGGTATTTAGTTTTTTTATTTTACTTTGTACATTTTTTACTCACGTTTTTTGTTTTATATTGATTTTGCTGTAATGATTAAAGGTATTCTGGTATTTCAAATGATTTGTCACTGGTCCTGTGTGTGCTGTTCCTCAATTAGATTTATCATGTCTTTCTGTTAATTCCGATGATGACAATAAATCATTTACTACGACTGCACGTGTTGAATCTCATCAGACTAGAAATGCGGAATACTTAGTAAGACGAAATATTTATTATTTCTGTTTTATCATGCAATGAATTGAAACAAAATGGATATAAAATTATTCATTTGTATTCATCTGCAATATATTTTTTGATGGTACACATTTATGGTGAATAAAATTGTAACGAATCATGTTTTAGTACTTTAAGTTAGTTCACTGTAACAATGGTTTCACAGAATTACGCTGTTTGAATTGTTTCAATTTTCAATAGTATTAGTTAAATTGTCAAATAATATACATTCGTTTTTATTAATATTTGGTCAGATACAGTGCCGGTTAAGATTATGTGTTGGCGTCGATGCTTGACTAAGTACCTTCTATTAATTTATCTTCAAAAAATTAACTACGTCAGAACCATATATTAAATACTTATTGAACTATTTATTTAAGAGAATTATTGAAATCTGTGAGTCTAGGTTTCCATACTTTACTTCATTATTTGTTTGAAATACGTCTCATAATTTTGAAAGTACTGTGAAATGTGAATTGATATGACCGATATACAGGTAGATTATGAGAATTATAAACCTTCCAAAAGTATTATCAGTCTTCTTACTATGCTATGAACACAAAATCTATCATGTTAGGGATCGCGGACGGAGATAGAATTTGGAGTGTGCACTACGCTCTATTTGGAATTTATCAACTAAAGCTACTCATTTTAATGAATAAGCCTTGAAATCATTTTTAGGATCATCATCTGCTGGATAGTATTTATCTATTTTATCAGATTAGTTCGGATGTGAAATTGGTTTTCGATGGAGTTTTGTTCTCTGAGTTGGATGGTTTGATCGTAGAGCTTTCATCGTTCTTCTAAACGACATCATCAGCACAAACTTCAAGTAGAAGTGAAGTGTTAGAATTTCTCCACATGCGGTTCATAGCTTGTTCTGTACATCTCGATGTTGATTAATTCTTGTTGACCTTAAGCCTGTCATTGTCAAACATAGGAACAAAAATCAAACCAATGGGAGACACAACCAAAGAAAAGAAGTAAACAATGACAGGTTTAAGTTCAACAAGAATTAATCAACATTGAGGTCTACAAGGCAAGCTGTGAACCATATGTGGAATAAATCTAACACTTCAGTTCTATCTGAAATTTGTGTTAATGATGTCGTTCAGAAGAACGATGAAAGCTCTACGACCAAACGATCCAACTCAGAACAAAATTCCATCAAAATCATCCACTTAATCTACAAATCTTCTCCATCATCTCGAAATTTGTTCTCCTCACATATTGATACTAGCTTGAGAAGTAATAAAAACTAAAGAACACCAAATGGTACTAGACCACTGAATTTCAACTCATCAATCTCAATATAACAGAACTGTAGGCAAACTTATTATAGATTATACTTTGAATATCATTATGGTTGTGGATCATTGAATAGTTTTATACTAAAACAAAACAGCTGCCCAATGTTAACTAGACTTCTATAGTTAACAATAAACAATTAAAATCAATATAATATTCAATGTAGTGAATAATTCTCGTTAAAACTTCTCTTCATTCTCTTTATACTTCACATTTCTCTTTTTTTTCTTTTCATAGATGAAATTGACATTCAATGCATGGTATAATGTAATTTATAATATAAAAATTCAATTCACAATGTTACAAGCTAAAAATGAATTTCATCTAAAAAAAACTTATTTTAATTATTGGAAATTAAAAATTCACCAAATTAATTATAATCGTGATATTGAAAAAGCGAAAATAGATTCTATAGAAGTAATAAAGTAAGCTCAATTCAAAATAATATTATTATTTCTACTACTCCTACTCCTACTCCTACTTCTACTCCTGCTCCTCCTCCCCCTTTTCCTACTACTACTACCACTACTCTCACTACTACTACTGCTACTAATACTACTACTACTTCTGTCACCACTACTACTACTACTACTACTACTACTACTACTTCTACTACCACTACTACTGTCACTACTACTACTACTTCTAATAATAATGATAACAACAATAATAATGATAATACTAATGAAAATAATCCGCTGACAAGAAGTTTCTTTTCTTCTATTTCATTTACTGAAACCATAAAATCATAGTTACAGTTAAGAAAGCTAAATGAAGTGAATTGTTTTAAAAAGAGAATGGGATTATCGTATTAATAAACGTGTCCGGATATATTTTGTAATAATTCTGATCACACTGCTGAGATATACATAAGTATTGATATGATATAACATAATATACAAATTAATAGTTCTTAGAGCTAATAACCACAAATGGATCAGTAATAAAGACAGAAAACACAGTGAACTCCTTTGAATGTATTATATTGAAATTATTATTTACAAACATCATACCAGAAGACCTTAAGTCCCAGTTTATGGAGTAGATAATAAATTTATCACTCAAAATTACCCCTTCAAGTCATTTACATGACCAAGCAAGTCGACTGAATAAAGATAATTACTTTTTAAAAATTGGGAATTTAGTAATTCATGACTGAACTCTATATGCGTAAACATCATTTTCAATCTGTTATCCTTCCATAGTTCACATTTCTGATCTATTTTCACCTCACCATTTTTATGTGATTGTATAATTTTTTTTCTTGATACCTGAAAAGATCAAACATTATTAATGAATCAATCTCGTTCTGTTTTCCAGTCAATTACTAATCAAAATACTTCGCGTTTTTAAGCCAACTCTTACTTCTCATTGATTACTGTGATATGTTATCAGTACAAAACTAACCTTATTGATACTTTTATAGAATGATCGGATGTAAACTCAAATACATTGTATTTGGAATTATAAATTTGTAGAGATTTAGGTTTTTCAATCCGCAGTAACTTTGAATGTAAATATATGCCTTTGTGTGGGAACATTGTGACTCCTATAATCAATTTATCGAATGCACATAGATTTGCAAATCTGTCACCATTCTTGTTCTTTTCTCTCAGTCATTTCATGTTGTCCTATGATATCTTCATATTCAGTGTTGTCCATTCCAACTTTGGCCTTTAGATCTCCCGTCAGGATTTTCATGTCTTTTCCTGAGCACTTCGCCATGATCGATTGCAACATCTCGTAGGATTGATCTTTATCGTTGTCACTGTTATGATTGTTGGGTGCATAACATTGAATAACATTGATTGTAATTTCCTGGTTCTTTGTTTTGAATAATGGTTTGATGATTCTGAAGAGGTGAAATTCCCATCCTGTAAGTTCTCGTTGGGCTTGTTTAGACACCATCAGAGCAACTCCCTGAGTGTGCGGGGGATTTTCCTCTTCGCGACCGGAGCACAGCAACATCTATTCCGAATCTATCCTTTTCTGTCTAGCTCGGGTAGAATGAATTTCCCTGATTCCGAGAATCATCAGGTTGTGTCTTCTCATTTCCGTGGCTAGTTGACTGGTCTTCCCGGTCTCCCACATTGTCCGAACATCCCATGTACGTATATTAATTAGTGCTCTGGTTGTTAGAAGGAGCGTCGGCCTCGTAACTTCTGAAGAATGTCGGCCTTAATCATGAGACGTCATAATTCTTCTGAATGAAGATCGTTCAACTAGGAGGACATAGTTTAAATAGTTAGAACCTCTAAATCTGGTTAGCGTTATTTAGCGAGGTTGTTTTCTACGTGATGGGGATTCTGAACTCATACTGAACCTTTCTCTTATTCGTGCTTGTGACTAGAAGAAACCCTAGAAGTGTTACAGGTGGAGTTATTTTAAGCAATAGTCTGTCTTTAAAGCATAATCATAACAGAAACACGATATTACAATGTAAACTAAATGTTTTACAATCGACTAGTTTAAATATACAAAGTAAATTAAATTTTCAGGATAGGAACCGTCCCGGAATTTATCTATACAATAAGCTCTTAACCATCTATACAACTTTCATTACGTATGGTTCCATAAAATGAAAACACTAGTAAGGTTATAAAAAATATCACCAATTTCGTATAAAACTTCATATTTATTTTCTTTACTTAAAGAAAAGAATATAGAGCTAAACAGTTTCATGAAAATTTTCTATTGAAACAATGTTTTACACGTTGGAGTTGTACAATACGAATGGAGAAAGTAAGTATATAATATTTTATCTATGAAAGGCTAACTGTAACAAAATATTTCTCAATTTCTTAATATAATACTTAAAAGATTTTGTCTCAGAAATACTGTTTCATCATATTTTTCAGATACATAAAATCTCCACAAAACCCTTCTGATACTAATCAACATATACTCACTAGTGACTGGCTTCAAGATACATATTCTGGAGTTCTAGTGAGAAGTAGTGACCAGTGGAGTTCGACCGGATCTGTTGTGAGATAGTAACTCATTGGTGACGATGATAGATGTGTCACTCAATTTTGTGGATTAGTTGAAGTTAGACATTAACACCGTTGAGTGACGGACGGCTCAGCGGTCTGGCGGTTAGACACTCGCGTGCGAGACCGATAGGTCTTGGGTTCAGGGTCGGTGTTGCGCACTGCCGAGGGTCCCACAATAGGACGGAATGGCCGTCCAGTTTTTCCAGATTTTCCATGGTGGTCTAGCTTCGATTGACCCATGATCTCAACTATTGAAATGACTAAAATCTCCACCAAACTCATACTGAAAATGTGTATATTTATTCGTTTTGCTATGTATCCAAATGCATTGATCTAAATCAAAATATATTATAACGTTCATGCAGATGTGAACAAAGATAATGACAATTGTTTCTTAGAATCGCAGAACCAAGATCAACAGGTAAAGCTGTTCGTAGTATATGGAGAGGGTGGAATCGTTCACGTCTACCTGAAGTTTGTGCTGATGATATTGTTTACAAAGACAAGGAAAATTTCATGATTAAACCATCCAAGATAGTGAATAAAACTGCATTAAATTCATCCACCTAACCTACAAGTCTTCTCCACTATTTCAATTACTGAAGTTATATTGTAAAGTATATCTAGCTTGTCTTCTTTTGTAGTTATGTTCTTTTGGGTTACATAATATTATGTGTAGAGTTGTTTTTTTTTGGGGGGTACACGTATTTGTAATGGTCTTAATGATCGTTTTTCGGTCTTCGGTATTTTCTTCTCATAGGACAGAAGTATTTACTTTAAAATACTTCAATTAGGCAGTAGAGTTCTATATAAAGTAGAGTTGATTCCTTTTCATGAATGGACATTAACTAAATAACATTTCCAAAATATTTAGAACGTTATAACTATTTTAAATTCATTTCAGACCTTTTGTAAACAAAATAACCTATCTCGGAAATTTTATTCATTATTGCCTAACAGTTATCTGATTATTTATTGTATTGTTAATAACTGTAAACTTTTCACTATCTATCCTTGCTTATAAAGTTTGTGAATTAAGGCAATATCTAAGTAGTCCGCACAGGATACATATATGCCAATAAGAGACTGATCAATTGCAGTTCTAATTACCAATGTGAAGATTCAAGTAAACAACATCATGCGAATTTAAAACTTAACCTCATTGTATAAACTAGTGACTATCAGGACTCAGTAAGTAAGCGGATAACCCGATAGCGTTGGAAGTGAACGGTACTGGGCTCAAGTTTTATAGCGAACATCAAATCTGAGATGCAGGTACATCCAGTGACGAGTCCCAAATAGGACGAAACGAGCACCCTGGACTCCTCTTCAAGCCACTATCCATCTTTGCTTTTCAGATGTACATTTCTCAAATATATATACTTAAAAAGTTTCGGATAAAAATATTTTTTGTATTGCTAGTTACAGTAATATAGTATATATGACCTTAGCTAACCAGACAATACATTTATTTCATATCAACTGAGTAAAAGATTATATCCTTCATTCTTTTACAATTTCTTTTTCACAGTCAACTCGTGATCAGTTAGAAAAAGAATCATTCAGACGTGAAAAAGAAATCAAATTCTCAATCATTTAGATACTTTATTGAACAATCATCAAACAAAAACATTAACATCTGATAATGATAATAATAATAATAATGAAACTATACCACTTGGTAATCGTATATGTTTAACTGATAGAAAATCGCAAAAATCAAAGGTAATTAATTACATAATTTTGTAGTAAGGTTATTTTCATTTGTAAACATTTTCTTTTTTCATTTTTCATTAGAATTTGTCGTGTAGCTTATTTGGTGACTGGAATTTCACATACTATTTTAATTATTAATTATTACTTGAAGTTAGACATTAACACTGTCGATGCCGGCTCAGTAGTCTAATGGTCAAGTACTCGCGCGCGAGACCGATATGTTCTGGGTTCGAACCTCGCGAGGCGGGGTCGAGGAGGAGGAGGAGTCCCACAATAGGACGAAACGGCTGTCTAGTGCTTTCAGGTTTCCCATGGTGGTTTAGCTTCAAATGACTCATGATCTCAGAAAGTGATATTAATTAATTTGCTAACCACTAAACAAATATAATAAAAAAAATATATAATTAGTTTACATTTTCTTGAATTGAACTACTAGATTGGATAACTTTATAATCAAAGTTGGATGGTGGCTAATAGTGGAATACAGTTTGACGCGCGTTTCGTTCTATTTGGGACTCGTCAGCTGGGTGTGCCTGCTAGCCACCATATAACTTTGCTGATAATGCTTATGAAGTAAGGCAATATCAAGGCAGTACGCAATAGATGCACATATGCCAATGAGAGACTGATCAATTGCAGTCTTAAGCAACAATGGCTGATTATCTATACCTTTACTATAATTGGCATGCTTCCAGAATTTTCTGGGAGAGTTCTGTCAAATGGAACTCTATAATGTACACTAAATTTTCTGAACATAACCAACCTTGAAGTATAGGGTTTCATTACACTTCTTATCTTATTGTTAGGGGGATTCAGAAAATTCCTCGAGAAAAAAACAAAAAAGGCCCTGCAAACGCTAAGAAACGTCTTATCCAATTGGGATTCGACAGAAGTTTTGCCAGAAACATCTAGGAAGTGAAAGTCACGTGTCGCGTTTCTGATTGAATGATTACCTATACTACTACTGTGCTTGGTAGCGTTCAGGAAATTTCCGGAAAACCAAGGCCATATAAAATACTATAAATACCCTAGATTTTCTGTGCATGAATGGACATTTGAAGTAAAGCGTTTTTCCATTTATCTCAGCTTTTCTCTATGTTCAAGTCGCTGTGTAGATTTAGTTTGGGGGCTAATAGAAGAGCTTAGTAACCGAATTTAGCATTCAATTAGAAGGCTTATCACTTCTCCCTATTGTTTGAGCTGATAATCTTAAAACGATCATACATAGTGATGCCTGAATAACATACTGAATATATTAAGCTTTATAAAATAACAGCTTAGCCAGTTGGACATTATGCCAAAATGACTTTAAAAATTGGAAATATGTTTACAAAACAAACCTCAGACGATTTTCAAAAAATGCATTTGCATTAAGGTATGCCAAATTCAATCGTTTAATCTCACTGAAGTTTGAGTTGCTCTTTAAGAAATTGATACTATTTTCACATAAAATTTTTCAGTATTTGTATCTTGTCGTTGTTAGTAAGGACTGTAGCTGATCATTTATTTATGGCACAAGCACGTCTTGAACAAACTGTCTTGATATTGCCAAATATTTACACTTATCTTGACAAATTTAGGTAATGGATAACAACTGAATCCAGAACTGATGGGTACCGAAAAAGACAAAACTCTCGTCCTAGGTCTCCGAGTTAACTACTAAGCTCTGTTAAAATACTTTATCATATTATTTTATTTTAAAATTCGTATTCTGTACATACAAAATGTTATTAATTAGTAAATGACTTCATTGTGTCTAACTGTCATATACCTGAAGTTTGTGTTGATGATGTCGTTCAGAAGAATGATGAAAGCTCGACGACTAGACCTTCCAGCTCAGGGAATAAAACTCTATCAAAATCATCCACGTGAGCTACAAATCTTCTTCACCCTCTCAAATTATCTTCTCTATTATTACTATCAATAACAAAAGATTTTTATTTATTCAGTTACTTATTTCGGTCATATATATATTCGATTATATTTAATTAACATTAGAATGCTCATCCAGGCTGTGTTTTCTGTTAGAATACTTTGATAAACTCGTTTTGTTTGGTGGTACTTTTATTTGCATAATAACTAGAATGATTATTTTAACTTTAGCATTTGCTAAAGAATTTATTCATTGTTTTAAATAACAGCAACATACATTATCATATATCACTCAATTAACTTTAATAATAGATTGTTGTGATTCGTATTGTCATGTTATTTACTTATATGTTATTATAAGAGATACTTGTTTCTTAATGGAAATCGAATTGATTTTTTCAGAGACTGGTATGCTATAATCTCGTAATTTTTGTAGAGTTGAGTGATGTATGTTCCCAATGATCTTTCACCAAATTCATTATTATCTTGTGAATCCTGTTTTATGAATTCCAGACTGTAAATACCAACAAAGCGTGTTTGAAATCAGCGAATTCATCTCCTTCAGTTGAAGACTTGATATCTGGTGATTTTACTCTGGATCATTACAAAAGTGATAGAAAAGTTAGTCCATTATATTATTTCCTAAGGGTAATGTCTGCTTTCATCATGTTTTTATTATTTTAACTTAACATAGAACCAGCATAGTGAATTATGGTGTAGCGTTTGAATTTTGGAAAAGTGTAGAAAATTTGTAAATTAAATATTCCCTGAAAAGCATAGAACACATGAAACTGAGTAAAGGAATATTTCTTGCAAATTAGATTTATATCAGAGCTTTGCATAAGTATTACAACTGAATATAAAACCGACACTAAACAAATGACTATTGTGTGTGCTACTTATATTGACATTAGTAGTATATGATGTTAGTCGTGAACGGAAGGTCTGGCAGCAGAGAGACAAGAGGATCGAACAGCAAAGAATGGAAACAGGATGCAATTTTTATGACAATGCAAGAACAATGAAGTCTGGGTCATTATGAGACAACTGATGGACATTTTACAAATTAAGCATTTATGATACGATTGTTAGATTTTATTAACAAGTCCTGTAATAATTGTCCCCACCGGTGTTCTCGTTCACTACACTATAAGTTAAATTACAGTAACTGATTGTATAGTTGTACAGTTCAAGGTTTATCTAACAGCAAACTAAAGTAAATTATTGACAGAATACATTATAATTACCAGCAGAAGACTTGAAATGTCCTGTTAAGTGGTCAACTAGAAGTAACGTAATGATTATTCAATGTAGATATACCAATACTTTTATAGTTGATGTTGGTCAGGAGGAAATAGTAGTTTTAGGTTCCTTGCTAGTCGGGACCCATCACAAGGTTTTTCTTGTAAAACTAAGATTCACCTTACCCAACTTTGGAGTCTGAGACGGAAACACTGAGCTACTTGAGGCTTAACTGAACATCTGTTGAACTGAGATATATACAAAGGGTTCATCATTGAGTAGTTACTTTAGTTATGTTTGTTTTGGATGCCGGTCAGCTTAGTGGTCTAGTGGTTAAGTGCTCGCGCGCAAAACCAGTAGGTCCTGGGTTCGAATCTCGCGGGGGGGGCGAGGTCGTGGAATGCGCACTGCTGAGGAGTCCCACAGTACGGAAAAACGACCGTCCAGCGCTCCCAGGTTTTCCGTGGTGGTCTAACCTCAATTGACTCATGATTTCAACTATTAAATTTATATATATATTAGCTTGATCTTTCTTTCTTTTTATTTAAAATTCTAGAATAATCGAATACTATCCGCTCAATCAAGTGTAATGAAACCGATTTTAAATCAAACTATTATACAACAACGTAATATTATTGCTGCACAAAATCGTGAAATTAATGCATTAAAAGCAGCACATCGTTATTCAGAATGGTTATTAGAAGCACGAGCACATAAATTAGCTAAAACTATAATAGAAAAAGTAAAAGAATGATTTTTTCTCCCTTTGAAATTAAACCAGGAGTCATTACTAGAACTTCTTAGTTATTGTCAATAGTTTTCAAACTTACTATCATGTTATTTCAATAGTTATTTTAAGGAATGACTAAGATATGTTTCCAGTTGAATAGATAACTTATGGTTAGCAGTGAAAACCAAGATGGTCATTTCGTCGTGTTCTGTACACGTCAGTTCAATATACCCTGAACCCATATTGATGTTCATACCAGATCTAGAATCGGGTACCTATCATTTTAAGTGTCAGCTCGTTATTCACTAAGCTACTAGACCCATTTTACTACATATCTGTTTATTGAAGATGTTAATAATATTGTTATTAGTATAGGTTTGAATTACTCTGTTATCGAAATTCAACACAATCTTTGTTAGTAAATGCATATCCTGCTTATATTGCCTTGATATAACCGTTCCACTGTTAGCCACAGTTCATCCCTTCTAAATAATTTGTAACAAAATGGTTACATTAAGATTGTTCGAACCGGATCTACACGTACTATCAATGACTAATCAAAATCTATTATTGAATAGAAACAATAAAATAAACTCTAACCAAAGACGGATAGTGGCTAGCAGTGGAATTCAGGATGCACGTTTGATCCTATTTGGGACACGTCAGCTGGATGTACCCGCATCTCAGAGTTAATGTTCATTCTGGGACTCGAACCCAGTACCGTTCACTTCAAACGCCATCGCATTATCCACTTCTCTACTGAGTATTTGCTTATAATGCCTGTAAATTAAGGCAGTATCGAGGTAATATGCACAGTATGCACACATGCCAATAAGAGACTGATCAATTGCAGTCCCAAACATCAATGGGAAGATTCAAGTTATAGGAAAACAATACAATGTGAAATAAACTCTAACCCTTACTAATAAAATATGTTTCCAAGATATTAAATAGTAATAACATGATATCTATATTTAAATCCTTTTGCTTTAGACTAATACAAAAATTAATGAAGCTGATAAATCTTCCCCTGAATTGAATGAATCACCAGTGCACGTTGAAAACGGTACAGATGATCAAGTTCATTCTCAACTAATGTATGTCTTCAACATTCCTAGATGTAATATTATTCGTTATTCAAAACTGTAATCAAGTTTCTAACATTTGAGTTATTGTGATTTTTAGAAATATTTGTCAATGTGATAGCGACTTGTAATTACACAAATACTGAGGTGACTGATGTATTGACTAGATTACCGATGTTCTATTTGGTTAATATACAACCAGGAATAATGTTTCGAAGGTACATTCGTTCATGTGACCCTGCCTTAGCTCACTAAAACTTAAATAGAGACACGACAACCGTTGACTACTCCCTGATTATCAGTAACTCATTAGTTGATAATAGTTAATATCAAGTCGGACATATATCTGAGGTAAACCATGTTAGATATTCATGACGTTAATGACCATCTTGATTCGATCTTAATACATTTGTGAACGAATATGACCAGGCCTATTTAGGTTTGATTAATGAACATTTCACCAAAGTTTGTATATGGTGATTAAGAATGACTATTTCAAATTGATCATTTGTAATTACTTACAAAAATGTTCAAAGATTGCTCTCCTGAACCTGGTTCACTTCAACTTTATACCTGAGGATTAATGAAGCCACTAATCAAAGTGTACAACTTAGTTGAAAGTTTTACTACATAAATTTTTTTAAAATAAGTGGAGCTATGGTAAACTTAATAAAATTGATGTGTTTTATGGAGAACTTCATTATTTGATCCTTGAACTTTCGAGACAAGTCAATTTTCGTTCTTCTAAATTTTGAATTGTTTTTCTTTTAACATTGCTAACTTTCATATATTGCAGTCTTACTTGTCTCTATTAAAAGAGTACGTTTTTCTGTGTTTAATCGCCTACCAGTGTTAATATCATTATTTCTTTAAGTTCGCTCTACAATTTTTAGATCTTGATAATTTCATTTTGATAATCTTTTCCTGATGTATGAAAAGAAAGGCGTAGATCTAGAAAATATTTACACAAGGTTATGTAATTCTGAGCAAAGATGGATGCTGGTTAGCAATGGAATCCAGGATGCCCATCTCGTCTTATTTGGGACTCGTCAGCTAAATGTACCCGCATCTCAGAGTTAATGTTCACTCCAGGACTCTAACCTATTACTGTTTGCTCTAAACGCCAAAGCTTCATCCACTTAGTTACTGAGTCCTGTTAGTCGTTTGCTTGTGAAATAGGGCGAGGTTTAAATTCATTTGGTATTATTTGTTTGAATCTATCTTCGTTTAGAATGCTTGTAACTTAATATAATATCGAGGTAATTCGTACAGGATGGATATATGCCAATAAGAGACTGATCATTTGCAATTCTAAACATCAATAAGAAGATTCAAACAACCAATACAAAATGAATTAAAGGTTACGTAATCTTGAGATGGTGGAGAAAATTTTGTAGCTCAAGTGGGTGATTTTGATGGAGTTTTGTTCTCTGATCTTGATGGTTTGGTCGTGGAGCATTCATCGTTCTTCTGAACGACATCATCAGCACAAACGTCAGGTAAAAGTTCATACTGATGATGCCGCTCAGAAGAACGATGAATGCTCCACGACCAAACCATCAAGATCAGAGAACAAAACTCCATCAAAATTTAAATAATGTTTTTCTTCTGACCAATAACTAAAATGAACTATTATTATTCAATCATTACTTAAAATTTGTTTTTGATCATACTGAAAAACTTACTTAATTACTTACGCCTGTTGCTCCTTGTGAAGTAGCACGGGCCGCTCAACAGAATTCTCCATCCAAATCTGTCCTGGGCAATCCTTTCCAGCTCCTTTCAGTTGTTATTCATCCTTTTCATATCTGGTTCTATTTCCCGATGTAATGTGTTATTTGGCCTTCCACTTTTCCACTTCCCTTCACGATTCCAAGTTAGGGCTTGTCTCGTGAGGCAGTTTCATGATTTCCGTAATGTATGTCCTATCCATTTCCATCGTTTTTTCCTAATTTTCTCTTCAGATGGAAGCTGGTTTGTTCTCTCCCACAGAAGGCTGTTACTGATGTAATCCGTCCAATGGATGTTGAGTATTTTTCATGGACAACTATTTATAAATACTTATACCTTCTTGATGATGATTGTAGTAATTCTCGAAGTTTCAGCTTCGTACAGTAGAACTGTCTTGACATTCGTAATGAAGATTGTGACTTTGATATTGGTTGAAAGTTGTTTTGAGTTCCATATATTTTTCAATTTTAGGAATGTGGATACTCAAACACAACTATTTATATTTACTATTCTCAAAAATAATTAGATTCTATTCATATCATTAAAATAATTTACATTTCTTGACACTTTTCTTCTTCTTGTTAACAAGATCAAACGAAATGAAAAGTCCCATTAGTGATAATCATTTATCAGGATCAAAAACTATATCGATTAATAAAAAAAACTCATTTATTCAAAGTAAGTCTATAAATTTATGAATGTACAATGATCTTTAATGAGATTATAGTTTAAGGACGAACCAATCAAATTTAAGGTAAACATCTTGAATTTTAACGCGAACTTCACTCATCAATTTGTCTAAATAACATCTTGGCATTTTAGCTGATGTCAGTTCGTGATGAAAAACATAAATCTAAATCCTAAACCTTACCATTAATTGTAAATCATTATCTGTATTCTTTAAACTGCTTTATACTCCTCATTTAGCCATAGTAAGTAGGTAGACACTCTCAAGGTCATCTTAGCGTCGCTCAAAGGTCGTCCATAAATTATAGTCTTACTCAATCTTTTCAGTTAGGTATGATGATGTAACATACTAAAAAAATTTAAACACTAATTATTTGTAACCCATAACCTATAATCACCTGCTCACTAGTGACTGACTTCAGGAGATACTCTTGGAGTTCTAGTGAGAAGTCGCTACCCGTGGAGTTCAACCAGGTCTGTTGTGAGATAGGAACTCACTGAAGACAATGGTGTACGGTGGCGCAACTTCGTGGGTCGGTTGAACTTAGACATTAACACCGTTGGATGCCGGCTCAGTGGTCTAGTTGTTTAAGCGCCTAGCGCGAGACTGATAGATCCTGGGTTCGAGTCTCGTGGGGGGCGGGATCGTGGGTGTGCACTGCTGAGGAGTCCCATACTAGGGCGAAACGGTGCTTTCAGGTTTTCTATGGTTGTCTAGCTTCAACTGACTCATGATTTCAACCAGTGAGATTTATGTATTATTTATTCAAAATTGTTTTCAAATCAGGTTTCCTGTAAATTACACTACAATGTTATGCCACTTAAACGATATTTATTAAATATTTCTACTCATCTTTGTTATATCACGTAACAGAACTGTCACTTCAATTAAACATCATCATAATATTATAACCATTATTATAAACTCTTCAATTAAAACCACACAATAACATCATTTGGACAATTTATTTTAATATGATGTATATTTCACTTCATCATTCTAACTATGATCAAGTATGTCGGTCTAGTGCGTAATTGTGGCTAGTGATACTCAACTCAATGATGATTGAAAGAGATATCACCTACAGCAGTGAATAAAGACGATACAATGTCATAACACGACTAAAGTTAAATATATAGATATTCAGATGCTGACTTAGTGGTCTAAAAATGTTGAGCTAACCATATAGCCTTTTGGTTTTGGATTTGATGTCTAATGGTGTCGCAGCTCTTCACAAGGATGAAACGACTATCGAGTGCTTTTTAGAATTTTAATGGTTATCTAAATAAATTCATTACTTTATGTAAACTGTTTTTATAATGAACAATATCCAAAAGCCTTCTATTTTAATGCATTATACTTTTTTTATATGAATTTATTCCATTGAACTATTTAGTTTGCATGTATCTAGGGTAATAGTAAGTAAGTGGAATACATTTCAATCCTCAATCCTGTTTTGCTTAAACTTACAAAATGAACCAATAGAAGGCAAATGACATGTTAAGAAGTTGTATTTTAATTAGAAACTATTATAAAGCTTATTTAAATAAACTAAAACATAACAATTAAATGTGATAGTATCCAAACTTTTAATTGAACTTGTCTTATTGTCGAGTATGTTTTTGTATTACCATGGTAACATGATCTGTTCAATATATCAACCAATTGAATTATGTGACTTCAGAAATACTCTCATGGAAAATTTCTAAAATGTTGAATGATATTAATAAAGATAAAATGTTCAAGAAAAAAAAAGCTTTTAATTTTAAGTAAACCGAGCTTTCCAAATAATATCTGTGATGATTGAAAGGATAATATATAACTAAGACTATAATCAACTTCTTGTGTTTGAAATTAAAGTCAAAGATGTGCATTTGATTTTGTTTTTCAGTTACACATTAACTCTATTGTTGATTCTTAATGAACCGAATAAAGGAAAATTCTCTGTAGATATGATTAAAATGAGATCTTTTGATTTGAGAAATTATGTGCCTGATTTATTACAAAGTTCTTAACATCTGTTCAAAAAATGAGAAAAGGTTGAATATTGCACTGAATGGTAAATTCCCATTCAAACGCTCAATTCCCTTTAGTGTGTCATCAATAGTGATGAATGATAGTTCAACTGTTAAGATACTGATTATAACTTCTTAAGACTTTTGGAGATGATATAAACTGAAGAAGCGGCTATAGAAAAAGTGTATTATTACACATAGGGAGTATTTTTAATGGATTATTGTTGATCTATCCTAGAATATGTGAGATCAGTTAGAGTATTACAGAGAATTTATCTATTATGACCTTAGTAAAACCATTACGATACTGATAAATGGATTACATTGGATACTCTCTATAAATCATAGTATTATCAACTGACAATACCTATCTTGTAATAATAATAAGTTGCATTACTTTTAAAAATAAAATGGGAAAACTCTTTTGAGGATTTACAGTGATTAGTTTAATAACAAGATACACCATCCAAAGTTATTACCATATATTTTTTACCCGTATTGAATTACTAGTTTACTTCAGATACTCATAGATTACTTATAGAATAATTTCTTTCACCCATTTAGAAATGGAAGAAAGAGCAGCTGAACGTGCTCGTCGACGTGCATTACAAGAAGAAAGAAGACGTGAAAATGAACAAAAGAAAAAAGTAGGCGTATTTCTAATTTCTTTTATTTATCAGTCTATAATAACAGTTTACTGGTGAGAAATATGACATGACTAAAATTGCATATGACAACAATCTTTACATCCAGTATATTAGCTAAAAATTTCCATATAGGAAAACAGTAATTACCATTATGAATCAGTGTTCTTTATTCTTAATCTTTCTCCAACTCTCCTCTACATTATTCAATATAGCAACTAGACAAAGATAATAGTTGCGTATATTAATCTATAAAAAAAAATGATTAAACAATTTTAAGATTATGCATAATGTATAAGTGAAGTCAAATACATCACCATTTGAACTGGTCATGAAGTGGAGATGATCTATTTGTACTTTTAAACAGTAAAAGTGATTGAACAAAGAATTTTACGTAATAAACTATTTACATGATTGTAAAAGTCGACGTGACTCCTTATGATAAATAGAATACTCTTTTGTTATTTATAAGAATATTTCTGACTGTGCTTTTTTCTCATAACCAAAGGAACAGTTAGCTAAACAGTTAGAAGAAGAAGCTAACAGAATCAAACAAGAAAAGATAATGTTGAAGAATGAACAAAAAGAAAAGAAGATACGTGAAGAAGAGGTTGTCATTACTGTAGATGTTTTGTTAAGTTATTCAGACATTTCTTGTATATATATAAAACAGCATATTGGTATAGTGTTTAGAGATTATTTGATGAGACTAGAATTTATGGACAACATTTGAGCGACGCCAAAGTGATGTTGAGAGTGTCCACTTAATAACTAGTACCAAATGAGGGTTATGAAACATTGTGAAGAATGAGAATAATGATTTTAGAGTTGATGGTTAAGGTTAAGAATTGGATTTACGGGTTATCATCACGAACTGACATCAACTATAATACCGAAACTCTATTTAAACGAATGGATGAGTGAATTTCGCGCCAAAATCCGAGACCTGTTATCCTTTACCTGATTGGCTCGTCCATAAATTATAGTCTCGACGAGTATTTGGCTTTTTGGTTCTTTTGGTGGAGTTTTGTTCTCTGAGCTGGATGGTTTTGGTTCACTATACGAAGTGACTAATGTTAGACAAATATTGAAAACTAAGAAGGACCGGACAGATGTATTGTTTGGTTATGAGATTTCCCAGCATTTGAAATCTATGATACTTTCGAAATACCAACTCAAGACTTTCAGATCTCTTGACCCGTAAGTCCATAAGTTTGAATTCATTGGTTCACATTTTCAACTTTGTTCAACTTATGGTTTTCTATTTAATTTAATTTTTTTAAAATGATTTTCTTCGCAAATTGGCATGGAAAACTAGGGAGTTTCTCTTTTTGATTGAGATCATGAACCAATTGATGTTAGACCACCTTTGGATACCTGGAAGCACTGGACGGCCGTTTCTTCCTATTGTGGGACCTGTCAGCTGTGCACATTCCACGATCCCGCCCGCGGGACTTGAACCAGGGCCTTCAGTTTTGCATGCGAATGCCTAACCTCTAAACCACCAATCGATTCCGCGAGCGGGATCGTGGATGCGCACTGCTGACGAATCCGACAATAGGACAAAATGGAGGTCCAGTGTTTTCAGGTTTTCAATTGTGGTCTAACATCAATCGGTTCATGATCTCAATCAAAAACCTGATAATCTTCACAACTCTATACTGAAATTCCCTTTGTCAGCTTGAAAATTGAATGGGTTTAATTCTGTTTGAATTGTTGAATGTTAATTTTTTTCGGACAAATTACAATCACGTAAAAAAACCCGGTTAATCGTTCAATTGACTTTCATCTCTCTAATGTTTCCTCTACTGATAATAGCTTACAACAAAATTTTATTGTTAAATTACATGAAAGTCATCAAATATTGTCAATCTTATGCGGGATCGTGGATGCGCACTGCTTAGGAGTTCCATACTAGAACGAAACGGCCGTCCAGTGCTTCCAGGTTTTCCATGGTGGTCTAGCTTCAATTGAATGATGATTTTAATCAGGGAAATTTCTAAAATCTCCACAAAACCCCTTCTGATAATCTTATGTTTGTTTATTTTTTAGTTAAAACAACAAAAAGAATTAAAATTAGCTTATCAACGTGAACTGAACTTAAAAGTTACTATGCATAGAAATATTTCGTGTTTACGTTATTATGGTCTTAAACCATGGATAAACTATGTATTAAAACAACATGAATTAATTCAAATGGCCAATTGTTATGAAAAGAAAACAATAATGAGGTAATTTATACTATATGATTTTATTTTTCATACAATTCAAGATATCTGTGATCGTTTGACTTCGAGATAATTCCTTAGGTTTCATTTATCCATCACTTTGATAACTGTTCAGTCAATCAGTCAGTAACAACGCAGAAATTCGTACGTACGTACATCAGTTCGACTTGCCATACCACATTAGCACAGAGATGTAGTTGTCGATTCAAATCCCGTTATTAAAAATAAATCTCAACAGTTTATAAATTCAAAAGGCAACATAATGAGCCGATTACAGTTTATCATTTGATAGTACAGATAAGAAACTTTACAAGCTCACTAAGCGAATTTGAGCAGAAAGGTTAATATGTGCGATCAAGTGAATATAGAAGTGAATATAGAGTCAAATCGAACAGAAGCGAAGCAGTTAATAAGATTCAAGCACATATATACATATGGTAAAGCGAATGATTCAGCGAGCGATAATTAAGCGACTAACATTTAAAGTAGAATGAGGCAATATATGCGTAGGCTGTCACATATAATCAATCAGACATGTTAATGATCATATTAATAATAAACAAATTGTTACTGTTTAAACAACACTATCGATTAAATGAGTTGATTGAGCAGCTTGACAAAATTAACCGTAAACAAACTTAGTAGTAGAAGAGTGTTATATGCTAGGTTTGAAGCGGTTACAAATTCACTTAATCTGCGAATGGACTCGGTGACCAAAGACCAATAAGCTAGCTATTTGATGTGTTCCAGCCCCACTAACTAGAGGGAGAATTCCAAGCTTGGAATGGGGAAGTATATTCCGCAAAAGCCAGAAGCACGAGCGATAACAACAGACACATATGAAAACGTATATATACAGCACAAAACCGTCCTTGGGGAGATTTACAAAATAGCATACTAAAAGACACAACGGACCAATGGCATTTAAGATTCTCTCGAGTGGAAAATATGACATGAAGGTGAAAAGAGCGCTTTTAGTGCGAGAAAAAAGAAATTCCAATTTTCTAAATAACATTACAAAATTAGGTCCTTTTCCAAGTGAGTTCTGGGGATCTAACGTCCCCAACACTTATATATTTACTATGTGTAATCGTGAAAGTAGCTTTCAATTTGTACCTAGTGAATTTCTTAACTAAAAGATTGTTTCACAAACATGTTAAATGAGTTTAATTTAAAGTAAAATCTCAATTAAGACCGTATGGTTGCGCTTTAGAATCTCTTTTTGGTGCATCTCATTTTACATTAGACAATAAAGATAGTAACAACATATATATATATATATATATATATATATATATATATATATATATATATATATATCAGTCCAATCTTTGAACCCTGTTCATTGCAACTAATGCTTAAAAGAAAGGAATGTTTATACAAGGGGTAATTTTTAAGATATTTTGTCACATGGAAAATGTGAAATGAATGTCTCTGATGCTCTAAAATAATCAGCATGTAACAAATGACTTCCATTATTACTTTGATGAAGTCGTTAGTATCAAGCCTTTAGAGACTAACTAGTTGTACAGCGGAAAATCGTAATGAGCTTTTTTTGTTGTGATTAAGATGATGATAATTAAATGATTCAGCTTGTTAGATTATCTTACCTTATACTCATCAAGTTAATCTTAACCTTGTTTATATCAACTGATTATATAATCGTTTGGTTATGCTATAATTATCAGTGATTATAACCTAACCTCTATTTATATTGACTGGATTTATAATATGCAAAGATACATCAATGTTGACTACTGTGTTTAATATCATACGTTGTGTATTCTTTATCATTTTATAACTATCTATTCTATCTCGGATATCAATCTCTGTTTTCTTGGATAAAAATATCCTAAATGCTTTTTTCTAATCTTTACTTCTTGACAAATTTTGAGAAGTTGTAGTTGTTGAGAAATCTTGAGACAGGATAATAAACTCATTATGTTCTAGTTATTTACATCCTATTTACAATTAACAGTTATAATAATTAAGTTATCGATTTCGTAGAGATACTGCTTAAGTTAGAAACTGGTATTGATTTGTATAGTATCCAAATGCACAAACAGCTGAATAGATACTTATTTTGTTCTGGTTTTTAATCTAAGAACACCTAAACAAGCTCGATATTACTAAGCTAATAAGTCAGAGTATAATGGTTTACATTTTTCAACTTCAATACATTCGCTTTATAATTCAACTATCATTTAGACATATCAATAGGTAAATAAGAAAATATTGACTTCTTACTAAAATCAAAATTGTATTTAGTTAAAGATATGGACCATTATATTTCAATTTGCTTTAGTCAACTTTGTATTTCCTAAAATACATGAAGTTACCGATGGAGTTTTGTTCTCTGAGTTGGATCGTTTGGTCGTAGAGCTTTCATCGTTCTTCTGAACGACATCACCAACACAAACTTCAGATAGAATTGAAGTGTTAGATTTGCTCCACATGTGGTTCACAGCTTGTCTTGTAGACCTCAATGTTGATTAATTCTTGTTAACCTTAAACCTGTCATTGTTTACTTCTTTTCTTTGGTTGTGTCTCCCATTGGTTTGATTTTTGTTCCTATGTTTGACAATGACAGGCTTAAGGTCAACAAGAATTAATCAACATCGAGATGTACAGAACAAGCTGTGAACCGCATGTGGAGAAATTCTAACACTTCACTTCTACTTGAAGTTTGTGCTGATGATGTCGTTTAGAAGAACGATGAAAGCTCTACGATCAAACCATCCAACTCAGAGGACAAAACTCCATCAAAATCATCCACCTGAGCTATAATCTTCTCCACTATCTCAAAAATACATAAAGTTAAGCTATATTTGTTGTCGTTTAAATACATTACAAAGTAGAGAAAAATCATCATTCGTTGTTAATAGATTTCTTATAATTCTTAAAAGTGATCATAATTCATAATGAAAATTACATTGATATATGGTATCTTATTAATTTTATTATAAATTTTCTGCTTTTCATAACATTTTTTCTTCACAGAAATACATTTCACACTTGGTTACTACATTTAAAAATTAAATATGAACAAGAAACTAAATTTGTTCAATGTCATTACAATGTATTGCTAATGAAAAAATCTATAAAAGCACTTCAGAAGGTTAGTTTCATTGAATTGAATTGACTTTAATTGAAATACATTCCATTGTGTAGCTTAATTAATTCAAAGCAAATCGTTTATTCAAAAATGATATGATAGTGTACATGCATAATATCAACATTAAGATTTAAATAATTAAAGATCACTTACTTACTTACGCCTGTTACTCCTAATGGAGCATAGGCTGCCGACCCCCTCTGTTCTGGGCCTTCTTTTCTAGTTCCATCCAATTCTTGTTCATTTTTCTCATGTCTATTTCCATTTCCCGGCGTAATGTGTTCTTTGGTCTTCCTCTTTTCCTTTGGCCTTGAGGATTCCATGTGAAGGCTTGTCTTGTGATGCAGTTGTTTCCTATCCACTCCCAGTGCTTCTTCCTAATTTCTTCCTCCACTGGTGTCTGATTTGTTCTCTCCCACAGAGAAACTCCGCCTGGTGTCCCTCCGAGGGCTACTGCGGCCCCAAGCCCGGATAAAGGAGGAGGGTTGGGCATGGGTTAGTGACCACATCCCGTAGAAAACTAACTCGCTAAAAAAACGCTAACCAGAAAACATTATTCAAATCATTTAAGCTCTGCCCTGGGAGTCACAAAGTCTTCATTTAGAAGATTTATGACGCCTCATGATGATGATGAAAGCCGAATTGAAGGTTAGTCGATGATTAATTTCCACTGTTGGGGTGGAGACGTTTTCTAAAAAATTACGTAGAAGAATCAATGTAAATCCCTTTCATTATTTAGAATGTATCTCGGGCTTAAGTACATATTTCATTTTCAAATTTTTCTAAACAAAATGTAAGGAGAATCCAATATTAAATGATCTATTATTGAAAATTTTCTAGGAAGATACATAGAATGGTGGAGAAAAATTTGTAGCTCAGGTGGATGATTTTGCTGATTATATAAAATCCCATTGAGTGTTTCACCTCAAAGATGTGTTCAACTCCTAGGTTGAAAAAACTGGAATATGTTTGAAAATAGTTTTGTTATGGGAAATAGCATACTCAATAATAATTTACAAGTCACTAACCAATAAGGTGTTCAGATGTCATTCACATCATCAAAAATCCAGTTAAATTGAATAGGGTTTCTTTAAATAAATGAATAAGAATAAAATTACAGCACGAATATCGTTAAATTGCACATAAGTGTGCCAAGTAGAATTATCAGCAACCAATGAAAACAAATCGTTTACTGTGTATCAAAAATAGAAAAGCCACTCAAAATCAACAAAACTTCAAAGAGAAGCTAATGCAAATACAATTAAACAACGAAAACAGTAAGTCATACTGTGGTGAGCAGAAAACCTAACTGAAACATAAAATAAGAGTACAAAAAGATGAAATGAGCGGTTTGTTGTGCCTATAACACATCTTTCGGTAAATAGATCAGAAAAATAGTGGAGTATGCCTTGAACTACTGATTATTAATGAGTAATATCGATTGATATGCTAAAGAGCCGCGTTAAATAACAAGTCAAGAAAACGCTTTTCCCACTTCGAAACTCCACATTACATAGCGAATCAATGTTTCGACAGGAACCTATCCTTCATGAAACTATATAGGCCTTTCCAAACACAATATACTTTATTTGCAACTAAACATTCTTAAATGGTGAATGGTACATCGAAGAAATATTCAGTCGAATAGAAGTGCAGTCAGTCACTTTATGCTTCTAACTAATCTATTGTAATTACCCCGTTGAACTTTAACACATATTTTATCGTCCATAGTCAGAAAGAATCACTTTGAGTGGCTTTATCGATAGCTTATAGTGGTTTTTGTCTAATTTGATTTGTTTTCTCAATGCATTTATATGATATTAGATAAAGTGAATCAAGAGTTATTTGTAGATCATTTATTTTGATATTAGCAGCTTCTTCTGAGCTAGATGCTACAGTCATACTGCATTGATTCCCCTCCTAGACAACACTACCAACAGTAACTTCAAAAATGAGTTAATACATTTTCCATAAGGAATGTGATTATGATGAGAATGATGTAGTCTTGAAAGGCTAGAGGACTTGATGATTAAATGGTACAGATTGGAAAACTCAACTTAAATATAATTCCTGTGAACTATAGATTTTATTCAACATGCTGAAAAATATCCTACTAGATTAGTTCTTTTCGTATGTTGTTCGTTGTATGCATAGATAATTGTGACCGTGTCCTCTCATATTATTACTATTATACTATCATTATCATTATTATTATTATACAGGCTTGTGAAATACGTAAAGAGAATGAGACTTTTGCTAACAAATGGTATCATAAACAGCTTCTACGAAGTAGTTTTTCATTTTGGGTTCAGTACGTAAATGATCTTTGCATTCAAGAATGGCAACAAGAGGAAACTGCTTTGGAACATTATAACAGGTAGGATCTTCAGAGATATATATGTATCATAATTGTTTGACCACAACTTTTCACAGTAATGATGATGTCTAACATATGTCTCAGATTAAAAGAACAATGACCATTAATATATAACAAGTTACTGTTTAATACTTTGAGAAAATGACAGTTAAATCAAGTTTACTTATAAAACTGAAAACTTATACTAAATATGTAGTGTTTGAAATTCGAATAATTACCATACCGCAATAATTTCGCAGTAGAAAGACAGTTTACAAGCAGAAATGAATAGTGGCTAGCAACGAAATCCAGTACGCGCATTTCGTCTTATTCGGGATTCGTCAGTTGGATGTACCTACACCTTAGAGTTAGTGTTCACTCTGAAACTCGAACCCACTACCGTTCGCTTCAAACGCCTTCGACTTAGCTACTAACTCCTGATAGCAACGTAATTATGCAATGGGATAAAATGTTTACTTATATCTTCCAATTATTGTTTAGGACGATGCAAGCAAACAACACCACGTGAACTTTAATTTTCTGTTAAATAATTTTGTTTTCAATATGCTTAAAATTGATTTTTTTTTTAAAAATTCATGGATTGGTTGAAGTTAGTTATTAACACCATTAGATACCGGCTCGGTGATCTGGGGATTAAGCGTTCACGCGTGAGACTGATATGTTATGGGTTAGAATCTCGCAGAGCGGAATCGTGGATATGCACTGCTAAGGAATTCCACAATTAAACAAAACATCCTGATAAATCATGCAAATTGAACGCTATATTGGTTTCCTAAGCTATTCTGTAACCCCCTAGCTAGAACTATACAGCGGCCTGAACAACGAGAGAGAAGACACAAAGTATGCGAGAAGTACTTTTTCCAGAAAATACAGGGTTTTCATAATATTTTTAATGTCCTTGGGTTGCTAGAAGATTCTGGAATGCTACTAAACATAGTAAGCAGTGTAGCAATCAGCCAATCAGAACCTCTGCCTGTGATATTCCGGCTAAAACTTCAAGTGGACGCTGATTGGAGAAACGTTTCTTAATGTTTTTCTGATCTTTGCTTGACCTTTGCGAGAAATTTTCTAGGTCACCCCAACACATCCGTCCAGTGCTTCCAGGTTTTCCATGGTGATATAGCTTCCATTCACTCATGAAATCACTTATTAAAAAAATAATTTATTTGATTAAAGGATCATTATTTTAGTGTTTATTTATTTATTTATTCATATATAGGCATCTATTGTATGTTTATTTTAAAATTTGGATTGATTTTCCAAATCTACAACGTGTACAGCGTGAACGAGAATATCGTCGTGAACAATTTCGTAAATGTCTACTTGATATTATACCTGATTTTAATCCACCTAAACAAGATATCAATGAAATGGACTAAATGTTTACATAAATTGTTATCATTGTTTAAGTCGAAATTGTAATTATGTAATATTATAAAGTTTTTTTTATTGGTGTTGTTATTCTGATTAATATATTTGGTTTATAAAAATGTAATAATAATGTAAAATCTCAAATCATAATATGTCATGAGAGCTGCTAAGTTCACTATTTGGTTAACATAGAATACAATCACAATTGATTGATCACTTGGTGGAGATCAATGTCATGCGCGTCTAGTCCTTACTAGTGCAGACCGAATGCTATCAACCATGTTGCAATATGGCCACCAGCCTAGGTGACTCGACATTGCGTGCACTATTGTGAGATTAGATAGTGGTTGGAGGTAGTCGACAGGAAACCCTGGACCTGTCAGCATCTCAGTCCTACAGGAGGTCGGTCGTGGCTCGGATAGCTCAGTGGTAACGTCTCTGAATGTGAAGCTGGGTGACACGAGGTCGAATCCTCCAGAGAGCACAAGTTCCCTCAAGATTACAGATACACATTGCTGACGAGTGCCAAGTAGCACGAAACTCGGGTCCAGGGTTTCCTGTCGACTACCTCCAACCACCATCTAATAGAATATAATATACAACTATGGAACTCGAATGTATAGAACCCGCCGAAAAACATGAATCAGAAAATGGAAGACTGGAGAAGTGGTTGTTGGATATGAATCAATATTTACAAAAATCCATGGGTATTTATAGATATTGGAGTTTATTATATCAATATTATAATTCAGCTAATCCATATTATTCGTAAAATTTCTTTTGACAAATTGTATGTTGGCGTTCTGGGGAGTGTTACAATTGGACGTAGTGGGATGTTTGGTTTGTGTATTTTTGGTCTGCCGTAGAATCGAGGGAGTACTTATTCATTGGATTTCATTCTCCATTGGTCTTGTTTTGTTGGTTCTCCTGCTTTGATGAGCTTGTTTAAAGTCTTTGAGATTCGGTTGTTTAACTTTTTGAATGGATTTATGTCCATCAGTTTGTATGTGCTCTTATCCTCAAGTAGTTCCTCGGCTTTTTTGACGTATTCTTCGTTGTTCATAATCACTGTGGTGAGTCCCTTGTCCCTTGATTTATGCCTAACAACATATTTTCAATTCAACGACAAAATCTACAAACAAACAAAAAGGACACCGATGAGATCACGAATATCAGGAGTGATCGCAGAAGCAGTGATGCAGAGACTATAAGCCTTGATATTACCAGTGATCAAGCCAAAAATTTGGATTCGCTATGTGGACGACCTATTCGATATCGTCAAAAAAGATGAGCTGGAAAACACTTAAATACTGATCAGCAACGTCTTCGATGACATCAAGTTCACAATGGAACAGGAGTCAAACAAGAAACTACCATTCATGAATATACTAATCACCAGAACCGACACAGGAAAACTGGAAAACTCAAGTGTATAAGAAGCTGACCCACACAGATCAAATTCTCAACTACAATATCAACAACCCAAGAGCTCAAAAAATCAACTGCGTACACACTTTGTTCAAGAGGGCGAGGACACACTGCAGCACATTGTCAGCCCGAAAAAAATGAAGAGAAATACCTGAAGGACGTATTCCAAAAGAACGGCTACCCAATCAACTTCATCAAAAAATACCAGCCGCACGTATCATCAGAATCCAAGTCAAGCACAGAAATCACCAACCATACATAAAAGGCATATCACAAACCGCAACGAGACTGCTGAAAACCTTCGGGATAGGTGTGGCACAGAAACCGACAAATTCACTACAATCAATCCTATGCAAACCAAAGGATGAAATGACAAAAGAAGACAAATCAAACACCATTTACAAAATAAATTGTGCCAACTGCGAAAAACACAACATCGGACCAAAGCGGACGCCCTCTTCATCTTCTGCATGAACATCAATTGGCAGTCAAACGCCATGACATTTCCTCACTTATATCAATCTGCCAGGACAACTGCGGACACTCCTTTGACTGGAAAGACGTGGAAATCTTGAAGAGAGAAAATTCTAAAAACACCAGAGAATTTTTAAAAGCTGGGCGCTCAGGTCAATCAGCAATCAACAAACACATTAAAATCGATCCAGTTTATCAACCAATCAGGAAAATTATGCACAAACATAGGGACAAAAATCAAACCTGTGGGAGACGCAACCAAAACGAAGAAGTAAACAATGACAAATTTAAGGTCAATAAAAACCAATCAACGTTGAGGTGTTGTAGTGTCAGTTATTATGCCAAGCCCATATACCTTATTCTAGCTTTCGGACATCCCATTTTATTCGTTCTAATCGAGCCATACTTTGACCTTGTTATTTATTCGCTTATCAATCTAGACTGTTTTTATATGAGCGTATATGTGTTTGCCCTTCTTATTCCATTAATCACATGTCTGTAGCTTTATTTTGTCTGACTATAAATATTGAGTAACGCTTGATTAAAAGGGAGTTGGCTTCCCAGTCATCTTCCATACGTGTCATTTAGCTTTGCTATGTTTCATTCTCTTCATGTACGAAATATATGTATTCTCAAGTCAATTCTCGTTATTCGACTTATTTAATTCCGTTATTGGATAACGTGATTTAAGTCGACGATGATATACGAGAATAAGCGATAACAAACATTTATACGATCTTGGAGTCAGATCCATGGGCCACAAAAGTGTACAGGACAAGCTGTGAACCACATGTGGAGCAAATCTAACACTTCACTTCTACCTGTAGTTTGTGCTGATGATGTCGTTCAGAAAAACGATGAAAGCTCTACAATCGAACCATCCGACTCAGAGAACAAAACTCTATCAAAATCATCTGCCTGAGCTACAAATCTTATCCACCATCACAAAGGGGCATGTTATGCTACTCTCTTTAGTGGCCCAGGATCTGACTTCAATTAAATCATATGAATGTTCGTCATTGGATGATTGCTGTCAAAATATATATGTCGTATATTTCGTCGACTTAAATAGCTTTAGTCAATATCGGAATTAAATAAGTCAAATACGAGAATGAATTTTGAACACATATATTTCATACAATCTTTGATTTTAGACAAAATATCGGGAAGCGATGCGAAATGAAGGGACGCGCAGTGGAGAAGGCGTGTGAGACAACTCCATTTAGTCGAGTGTTAATCTTTATTTATAATCACACAAAAATAAGTTACAGATATGTGATCAATAGGATAAGAAGTGTACACACATATGCGCGCGTATAAAAATAGTCAAGGTTGATAAGTGAATAACTAACAAGGTCAAAATATGACTCAACTAGAATGAATAGATTTGCCTTTCCGAAAGCTAGAATAAGGTATATGGGCTTAACATTAATAATCGACAATACATGTTCAATGCCAGTATGCCACGTTGATATTCTAGAAAGTTCCATCATGTTCTGATTGCATGGAAACTCTTCGGCTCATTTAGGGTCTCTGTAGGCCTCGTCGTAGTTCTCGGAATCCGTTCCAAGAAGAGTAATATAAATGGACATAAAATTTTAACACTATTGAAGGTAAGATAGCTGTTCGATATAACATTGAAAGTTACGATAAGAGGAAGAAGATAGAGGAAATAATGAAAAATTTTTGAAATGGAATAAATTCATTTCATTATATAAATACGGCGAGACTCTAATTTATGGACGACCTTTGATCGAATCTTAAGTGACCTTGAGAAATATTAGCCAATCAGCAAAAAGTCAGTATAGAGTAAAAATATGTTATACAAAACCAAGGAAATAAAGTGGATACACTTCTTATACATGGTTCAAAAACTTGTCGAGGTTAGAAAGAGGTTCATAGGTTCTAAAATCGTAATGCATTCAGTAGAGGAAATCATCGATACGGCTACAGAATAGTCGGTTTCTGGAGTCATGATAAAGTCCTCGACCATATAGCTTCAATATTGTTTATGTGCACTCCATTTGTTGAGTTCACAAAATGCCACTTGTGGATAACGACACGATGCACATAACCAAGCCTATGTAGGAGTCTTTACACTCTCCAAACATCTGTATATATTGTAGTATCTGGCTGCAGCCAGTGTTACTGGTGTTTTTATTATCCAGTTCGCAATAATTGTTGTAATTTGCCTTAGTTAGGAATCATATATGGGGTTTTCATCACGAACTGACATCACCTATAATGCCAGAAATTTATTTAGCTAAATGGATGAAAGGCTTCGGCGTTAAAATTCGAAATCTATTATCTTATACCTGATTGATTCGTCCACAAATTATAGTCTTGCCGTTTTATTCGTTATAGCCGCTCAATTATCACGTTTTGTACAAAATTCCCTGTGAACCGATCGTACGTTAACATTAAGCACTGGAGTTGGCGCTGTAACCCTGAAATCTCTATAACGCTTCTGATTGGCTCGTCCATAAATTAGAGTCTCGCCGTAAATACTATTATTCATAATTTGGTCAATTATAAAATTATTCAAAGATATACAAACAGAGAGATATGAAACTTGTATAGCGATTCTTTTGTTAATTAGTTACTATATAGTTTTAACTATAAGTTATTCCCGACTTACTTACTTAATATTAACTCGATTGCCATTTATAAATTACAAAAGTTTAATTACGAATAACTCAAATTTTTCATCGAAATTATCCTAATGGTTAAGATCATGAGTCAGTTGAAGCTAGATCACCATGGAAAACCTGGAAGCACTGAACGGTCGTTTCGTCCTATTGTGGGAATCATCAGCAATGCGCATCCACGATCCTACATCGCGAAACTCGAACCCATGACGTATCAGTCTCGCACACGAGGGTTTAACCGCTAGACCACTGAGCCGACTGGCATCCAACTGTGTTAATGTCTAGCTTCAACTAATTCACGAAACTGAGCGACACATCCACCATTGTCTTCAGTGAGTTACTATTTCACGACAGACCTGTTTGTACTCTACTGGTCACTACTTCTCACCAGAACTCTAGCATATACCTCTTGAAGTCAGTCACTAGTGAGCATATGTTGGTTAATATCAGATGGGTTC